ATATGAATATAATGCCCATGTTATATGATACGAGAGTTATAGGTATAGTTGGCATGCCAAGATTCGAGGGTCTACGTGGTCCTTCGGGACATATATGTATCCTTTGGAACATTTACAGGGTATTTTGAGACAGATTTGATCCACTGGAATATGTATATATTTCTTAAGGAGTGGTCCTTCAGGACAAATACAGTACATAGATCCTTCGGGATAAATCTCATAGCCCCTAGTGGGACCCCATACGAGTTATGGTGACAGCATAGTGCACAACCTCAATAGACTCACATATCTACAGTTCTCACAGATGTACATGGGCGAACAAAGAGATAATAATAAATATATATATTACATGTAAAGTATATGTTATATGAATTGTATTATATGATATATGAGATGATGTGTATATTGCTTGATTAATTGAATCATATGTGGCTTAAAAGAATGAATATATGAGTATATGATTATGAGACATAAATGATAAGAATATGGATAGTGGAATAAGGTTATTAATGGAAATAGTGTGAGATATGTATATGTGTATATTACATTGTATGTAATGTTAAATTGTTTTGGTATGACATCATGAGATGATGTGTTCCTGCATGTTTAAATAATTAGAGTTCTTTTATAAATGTAATGTCTCACTAAGTCATAAACTTAGCGTGTGATTGTTTCACACGTAGGTTACAGAAATGAGAAGAGAAGTTTAGAGGAGCAAGACAGGTCAGATTCTCCTTTCCACAATTCAGATCAGAAATAAGTTTGAATTATATGTATTTTATCATATGAATGTAGTTGGCATGTAGGATAAAAGATTTGTACTGGATACGCTCTGATCAATTTGTAAAACCATACTTTTTATACAATAGAAATTATTTGGGTTTTATTGGAAATGTCTAACTGAATTTCATTAGATTTTGACAAAGTAAACGTTTTGAACAGTCAATGTGACACCTCAGACTCGTATTCGGGTCGGGTACGGGTTGGGGGTGTTACACATGTACTTATTATTGAATTCTTCTACAAATAATACCCACATCACTAAGTCTTTAACATTCTCATGGTGACATTTGTCCACCATACTTCTAGTTTGCCCACGTAGTAACGAAACTACTCAATTTAACTTCTCCAATTTGGAGAAATGAAAACTTTATAACATTATCTTTATATCATTTAATCAAATTTCCATAAGAATGAAACATTTCTCAAATTCACCCTTGAACTCGGGTGTTCTCAACTCTTTTCGATACATTCATTCTATGAATTATAGAGGTATAAAATTAAAAAAACACATCATAATATCATTTAACATCATGAAACATTCTCTAATCTTGTACAGGCACGCCCTAAGGTTTTTCGCTCTTCTCCCTGCCTTCTCCCTGCCTGGCCAGGGCAGGTGAATGCTATTACCTTCAGTGTATTGCCTTATGCTTCACTTTGGAAACTCTTATGATCATACATCTAATATAACATAACATTTTAATTCTATTAGCAAGACAGTACACTCCTTACACTATCAGATCATAAAATTTTTCACTTTATGTTGGCATGTATACTTTTTAAAACACTTTTAACTTCGTTTTTAGCCTAGAATCGGCTAAACCGTAGCTCTGATACCATTAAATGTAATACCCCAACCCGTATCTGACCCGAATATGAGTTCGAGATGTCACATTGACTTTTCAAAACATTTTTCTTATTAATATCAAGATATTTGAACTTTTTTTAAGAAAATACGATAATATATTGTTGAATTATGTTTGTTATAACCAATTTAAGAAAATATACGTTTTATGAACAGTAAAATATGGTATGAACAGCAACATGCTACATTACCTAAAATATTAAATTTTCCATATTACAAATAGGGTATCGATACCCTGCTACAGTGTACCGATTCCCCTGCTCCAGTACTGCTACAGTATCTCGACAAAACATGTATAAAACTCATAAAATTCTAAGCTTTCATTCATATAAAATTTTCATTTACAAATACATCTTTAAAACATTCCAAAACTCGATCAGAGCGTATCTAATACAAATCTTTTATATTATTACATACCAACTAAATTCTTTATAACAAAATACATGCAATTATATCTACATTTCTGATCTGATCTTTGGTAAGGAGAACTGACATGTCTTGTTCCTATTTACTTCTCTTTCCGCTTTCCAAACCTACGTGTGAAACAATCACATGTTAAGTCGATGACTTAGTAAGGCATATAAACATATAATAAAAATCATAAAACATTTCACATAACAGAATATATATATATGTACATATGCCAACATTATCATGATCTCTATCATATTCATACTCTATTATCATTCATATTTCTTATCTCTTGTTCATATAACCTCTTATGCTATTATCATATATACTATATCTCATTTGTATAACATATACAATGACTCATAACACATATATTATTTCATACAATTCATATCAAATAGAAACATATATCATCATATAATTCTTGTAACATTTCATATCATCAAAAGCATATACATCATATATATTATATTTAATCTCTTTTATTAGCCCATGTACACTGTTGAGAGCTGAAGGTATGTGAATATGTTGAGATTGTGCACTAATGTTGTCACCACAGCTCATATAAGTCCCACTGAGTGACATATGAAATTTGTCCCGAATGACCTATGTATTTATCCCGAAGGACCACTGTATATGTCCCGAAGGACCGCGTAGACCCTCGACTCTTGGCATGCCAACTATACCTATAGCTCTCGTATTATATAACATGGGCATTATCATTTATACATTTCATATCACTTGTTCTTTCTCTTCTGTCACATACCACATGTATGTGTAATCATATATCTCATGTCCATGTAATCATATAAATTGTATCATATGACTTATATTATATATCATGTGTTCATGTAAACATGCAAGTTATATTTTGTTCACATTTGTTCATATATACATCACATAATCCTTTCCTATAGTTCATATTTTATTTTCACATATGGCATATCACATAGTACATATAATCAAGTATACATACATTTCATGTCATTCACATCCTTATAATCAATACTCCATACACTATAACTATTGGAAATAGACTTATCACAAGTCCAATTCCTTATAATCCTATAAACTAAAATGCACTCATAAGAATCATATCAATCATATAACATTTTAGGAGTCACTTCTTACCATAGTAACTCCGTCACTGGCTAATCGCAAGCCAATGTTCTTTGATAGCATAAGTACAATTAAATTGCACTCACCTTAGCCTTGCTTTGATTCAATCCTAATTCTTTGATTGTTTCGGAACTTGTTTAGGCTCAATATCTACATAAATATAACATTTCAAAACAATTATCAGAAGCCTAAACCTTAAACTAGATGTTAATAACTTACGCCGGTTTAATGAACCAAAATTTTATTTTTCATTTAGGGGGTATCTGTACCCCCTGCATAATCTGGAATTTTCGTTCAAGCCCAGAAAATCATTGTTCATGCCCGAAAATTCACTATAACAACTTAAATTTTTCATGTTTCATTCACTTTTCTATTCTTAACTCAAATATACATACTTAAACTAATTTATATCCATTTATTTCATCTTAAACCTCAAAATTCTATTCTCCATATAGAAATCAATAATCATACCAAATTTTCCATGTTATCCAAACTTAATTCTAACACTTCTAACTTCTTATTCTCATAGATGACAAGTCAAATTCAACTTATCAACTCTATTTCAAGATTTCATTCAAGAACTCAAAATCTTTAATCTCTCATATACCTTTCATCTTGTTGTTTTAGAACAAATTAAGTTTTCCTTAAGCTTAATTATCATCTAATGATCAAAATCCAACCTTTAATTCACCAAATAATCAAGTAAGTAGGAAACTCTCATTTGCTTGTATGCTCCACGGTGGAGAAAAGAAGAAGATGAAGAAGATGAGAGAAAATGAATTTCACGTAAGTTTCCCTTATTTTATAAGGGAAATAAAAATCTTTCTTGTCAAATGACCATTTTTCCCTTTAATTTTCTTAATAATTACTATAAACTTTTAGGACATATCTCCACATAAATCATTGAACTATTCAACTTTTTCACTTTAATCACCAAATTCCAAAATTTTACAATTTAGTCACTAACCCGTAATTTGGGATGTTACAATTCTTGTATGATAAAGGTTGTATATAAACTCTTATCAGTTTTGTAATTCTGTGAGAGAATAATGAGAAAACTATACATGTCTATGTAACTTATTTTTAGCTTTGAGATTGTCCCTATCGACCACTTTCATAGCATAAAGGCAGTGAGGATAGTGGGGATGATGATGATGATGATAGTTGGACTCGATGGCGGTATTGTTAATCTCACAAACATATACATTTCCCATACTGCCACCGCCTACTCGATGCAAGAGCTTGAAGTGTTGGATTTCGACTTGGCCATGTTCCGATAAAAGTTGGTCGATGGGTGCCCAAGCAGGATGGTTTCCTTTGTGGTTTGTGATTGGTCGAACCCAAAGAAGACGAGGATTGCTGTGTGAGGATGAATCAGGGCTTGGCGTTGCCATTTTTTTGAGAAGCTTCGTGTGTTCTTAGTTGAGGATAATGAGTCACTTCCCCCGTTTTATAAGCCTAATAAAACTAACCATTTTTTCCCTATGGAATAAATGTAAAATAAAAATATATTTTATACATTCGTTTGTTTCGAAATTTTGGGAAATATTTTAAAAAATAAATAAATATTATTATTTTTTATTTTACGTCAAAATCAAGTAATTTCCCGTCGATTAAAAAGATATTACATTGACTAAGATCATTTTATATGAAGATTTTTCTTTATATAGTAGCGTACAATTAATTGAGATTTCAAATTTTCTTATGCAGACGAAATTATGCAAATGTTTTCAATAGTTGAAAGAAGTTTACAGAACAGAACGTTGGTTACTGTTACATCCTGCAAAACTGATATAGCAGAGCAGCATCTGCAAGTTTGCATCAATTTTTTCCTCTCCTCCACTTATCCCGACTTCCTGCTATAACTTACTCGGCAGAATCTAAACTCTCAATTATAGTTTATGAGATGCTTCTGTTTGCTCTCCGCTAATCTTCTATGAAACAAGATCGTCTGAAACTAATTGCTTTCCCTTCCTTTGATGGTTATAAAATCACTTTATGACCTTCGAACAGAATGAACCCGAACCAATCGTAATTACTCATCAGTCACTCATATCATCAATCCCTTCGAAATCGCTGACCCCATCAGATGCTTCGCCATCTTCCTTCTCTTCATCGTCCGTTTCCATTGCATCTTCTGATTCCTCTTTCTCACTTTCATCTGTGTCCTCAAATACTACTGGAATCTTGCCATTCTCATCGACCTCATCCTCAACAATCTGTCACAAAATAAAAATACAAAAAATAAGAAGGCAGTTTGCTGCATAAGTCCCAAATCAAACGTCAAAATTCCAATCAACCAAAAATTTCAACACAACACATACCCCTGCATAAAGGAAGTCCAAGCAACTTGATATTTGAAGAGCTGATTCAAAAGTTGAGACTCTAGATTCAATAAGCTGCATAAAAACAAGCATTCACATTTTGAATATTGGTATATGATTGAGAGCGGACAGCAAAGATCAAAGTATATAGTTACCTATACATTACAAAAACAAAAAAGAACTATCCATGATTTGGTACTACTCATCTGACCTGATACAAAGAGTTCAGAGCAAGAATAGAGGATTCCTGAGACATGATTCCACTAGCATGATGTAGCAGTAAACTCTTTATCCAAGGGAGGGCACACGCCAATACTGCGCCCCTGCATTAAATTGGAAATATAGCTGACAAAAATTCAGCAGAGGTTATAAATGAAAAACAAGAGAAATATGCTGTCCAACAATAAGCAATGAGCCGCCATAAAGGAAGTGAGTAGGCTTTGTTAAAATCACCCTTTTCTCCAGGATCAGCATAAGGGAATAGGCTTTACATACAATTACAGTAGCAAGGAAAAAGAAAGAGTGGAAGTGTCTTGAACATAATTCATGGTTGATTGAAACATATAATACTTCACCTTGATTGAGTAATGGATACAAGAGATCGTAAAAGCTTGAGAACATCAGACGGGTTTAACTGTGATACTGAATTTGCAATAACCTGAAAAGGAAGAAAGTTCTCATATCAGCATCGCTGTCATACATATAATTCTGTCAACAAAAGATCTGTCACTATGAGATGACCTTCTCATCTTGAGTGTATAAGCAGTCTAACAGAAGCGCACGATCATCAGCATGCAGTGCCTGCTTAAGCAAAACATTAACTGAATCTGCAGTGGGAGGCTTGCCATGAGGAGAGGATTCTCCTCTTTCTTGGTTTTCAGTGGTTTCATTTTCTCCATTCTCTATTGAATTTAAAATTGTAAGTTTCTCAGCCATGGTAGGTTCATCTGGATCATCATCAACAAGGACTCCATCTACATTCTCTCCATGACCTATTCAAAAATCATACTGAAATAAATTTCAAGAGAAAGAAGAAACGGCTTATCTCAGAAGCTATTATAAAGATCTAATATGAATTAAATCTGTATAATATTTACACCAAAACAAAGCTGTATGTCATACTGTGTTCTCGGCATCACCACATTTGACATGTCACAAAATGCTTCCTGGGAAGACATGTTGCTCCAACCAAGGATTAAGAAACAATATGAATACTGCAATCAGTACTATGTAGAACATAATATACAGTGATAAGAAAGCAAGCAATCATATTTCAATACTTTACCCAGTCAAGAGTTTTGTCAAACATCAGTGTACCAAAACATATGACATACATGTACAAAAACGCTATGCCAAGTGTTTATCTATATATAGAAATTATGGTTTGGAAAAGAAGAAGAAAAAGGCATTCAGCAATATGCAGCACCCCTCACCCGTATCATTTGTGTCTTTTGTAGTTGTAAGGTCTGGATCAGAAGCAGCTCTTTTTTTATTTGGTTTTCCATTTGGATCAACTGCCATTCAAAATTATTGAAAGTTAAGGGGCAGCATATAATGTCAGACCATTCACAATAATATTAAGGAGCAGAAGAAGAAATAAGTAGAGTTTCAGAATCACGGATTATTAAAAAAAGCCATTCTAGGAAATTAATGTCCCACCTTTTAGCAAAGATGCCCCATTTTCTTGAATAGTTTCAGTCTGATCCATAGCATTTATAACAACATTCTCCCCTGCTTTGCTAACATTCACAAGAGTAAACTTTGGGGAGTCTAACCGGCCATAAGCAATAAGGGCAACAACCTCTTGGTCCATGCCTGAAGCATGTATTCTAGCAGAGATAATAGGAGTACTACTTTTCTTTGAGCCTGCACTCTTCTGCTGCTCTCCCACAACTTTATCAGTTTTTACAGTCATCTTTGTTGGTTTAGCATCATCCAGGGAAATGGTGTCCAAATTCCAAAGATATGCAATACCAGACTCCGAAACTGCTAAGATCACAGAACCACCTTCTTCACTACCACTGTTCTTACATTCAAATGCTAATGGAGGGTGGGGTATTGTAATAAGCGAGCCACCACTCAAAGTTTTGGAACTCAAATCACAACTCCAAAGTTGAAGATTAGTCTCCCCGAACCCTGATGTAACAATTGTCTTGGCATCATTGGATATGCTTATATATTGCACAGGATCCTGTGATAACAAATTAATCAAAAACCATCAATCCTTTGTGCATAATAGGTAAATCACCAAAGATGGCAGACAACTAACTCACTAAATCATCAGGAGATTTCAGAAGCTCTTTCCCATTGTCCAAGTTGACGACACGGATCTTATCATTGGCTAAAGCCAAATACTTCCCATCTGAAAAGCATATAGGAAAATAATTAACACAGGACAAAAGATGAGTTAACAAAGCAGTAACCATTTCATAACTTACTGACCTTGTGAAAATGACAAAGAAGAGATGGATCTTTTGGAAGCTTTGAACTCCCTTATTAAATCTCCATTTTCGGAGTTCATTTCAGATGCCTTTCCATTGCTTCCAATGACATACAGACTATGACCTTTGTTTGTGAACGAAAGACCCGCAATTCCACTGGAAAAAATGGAACAATATCAGCTAAACCATCTACTAGAAAAAGATAACCACAAAAAATTTCACATGCTTAATAGATTCACTCAAAATCATGTGCAAAGATAAAGAAGAAAAGAGACAAGTTTTCACCATCATCAAAGAGACACAAAACAAGAAGGTGTGATTAGAAGGATAAGATGAACCTCTAAGCACTTTGGCAACAATAATTCTTAACAAATATGGAATCATACCCAGGATAATAACCAATAGATGACCACTTCCTGTCACCAGCTAAGACATCAATAGTAAAGATGTCCCCTTCATTTGTCCCAAGAGCTAGTAAGCAAGTCCCATGCCCCTTTTTATGCTAAAATTTCAACACATACAACAATAGATTATTACAAACCGGTGTAAAAAGGTTTTAAGTTGAAAAAAAGAATGGACCATATAAACATCCTCAAGAGGATCTGAGGCTACCTTCTTTTTGATAAAACTGAAAGCCATACTGGAATAACTATTAGCAGGGTTAGCATCTGATTGCTTCCACTCTGCCAATAAACTCCCAGTACTTGTGCTCCATATCTGCAAAGGTAAAATGAATTTTCACGAATATAAGAGGAAAACGAATATTTATCAAATGCTTTCTACCGGGTAGCAACAATTGAGACCCCTAGAGTAAAACCTAAATAATGCAGAATCTTCGGTATGAAACCAAGATGGAAAAGTAAACATTCAAGCAAATAGGTGTAGTCCCATGTACACTCTATGGTACAAGAATGGTATAATTACAAGCAACCATGTCTCCAATTTCTATTAAGTACCCTATAATAAAGTTGCTAGCAATTAACAAAAAGCAACCTAAAACTTATTAGTCTTCATTTGACCTTATTAACTGCTATGATAATCCCATGGAATAGCGTCGACGTGAGAAAACTCAAATGACTATTATAGATAAGAAACAACTACCATTCCTTAGCAAAGATCATAATTTAGATTACTCGCCCATGAGATATATAGGAGGTCCATAATCCAGTCACTTGAAACAAGGAACTTATTCATTGGTTTGTGTATTTGCTTAATATCTCTTGCAACTAATCCAACGCAGATAAAACATGCAATAAAAAGTCATCGAATTAGAGCCGGATTCTTTGCACATGGTTACTTGTCCCGTTGTCTGAAGGATTATTTCCCTGCCACTATCACAGTCGATTTCACAACAACATTTCCGACATAACTTTAGCTCTTAAACCAGCCTCATTATTACTATCATGGAACTAATAGTAACACTAACTTCATATAAGTACAAATTTATACTCTTGCTTACATAAAAAGAAAAAAGAGCAAAAAAGAAAACCAACTATTCTGAATTATCGATAACAACCCAAATAAAAATTATATACAAAATAGCAGAAAAGAGAAATATAGGGATACAAGAAAATTACTTTGACGGTTCCATCGGGGGACAAAATGGCTAGGTGATCACCTTCTTGAGTGAAACATGTAAGGAGGGGTTTTACTTTCTGCTTTCCCATTTAAACAATAAACCCAAAGTCCTTTTTTCTTCCTTGAGACCAAAACAAGAGCTTTAAATTCTTCGGTTTTCAGTGCAGACTGCAGCGGAACTAACAGGGAAGTGAAATAAGAAGAAAAGCTACGCGAGTACGAGGGTTTTAGCCGGGTCGGGTCCGACTCAGTTATGAAAATTTGGTCCAATTATCTCCTCCTCTCGTTTATAAAATTTAGGGTAAACTACACCTATGATCACTAATGTTTTAGTTTTAGTTTTCCCCTATGAAGTTCATATAAAATAATAGTTAGATATTTTAATTTACACAAAATTTTATATATATATATATATATATAATATTTACAATATATAATATATAAATAGAATATGAAATTCGATGATTAAGTTGTTAAAATATCAACTATAAAAATCTTACTAAAACACATACAACTTAATTTTAGACTAATGTAAGACCATAAATGAGATAAGATAGATTATGAAATTACTCAAATTTAACTCAATCAAAGTTCGATAAATTCTTGATTGGAATAGACAGGTCGATTCAAGTTCTTAACAAGTTACTTTATACTCGACTCGAAAAGTTTGAGTGCAATTTGAAAAAAAACAATATATTAAAATTTTATTTTTAAAATGTTAAATTAATAATGATAAAAGACATTTATGTGTTTATTATTTTTTAAAAAATATAGTAAAGTTTTCATATACTTAAGGTCTAGGTTCGAGTTTGAGCTTGAACTTCAACTAGTTAAATTAAGATTTTTTTTATTTCAAGCTTTTTCGAACTTCAATTCATGATTTTGATTTCGAGTCAAGTTAGTGTGTTTTCGAGTCGAATCAAGCTTCATTTTAAAGTTATTCAAGTCGAGTCGAACTTAACAATACACAAGATCAACTTGGCTCATTTAGATCCCTAGACTTATGTAATTGAATCCATCACATATATATATATTCCACTGCTTTCATCCTCCGAGAACTAAATAAGAGTAACTAAGAAATACACAAGAATGATGCAAATTGTACTCCAAATAAAATTCAACATAAACTGAAGCAAGGTCAAGCTCTCAAAAGCTCCAAAGACCTTAATTTTCTTATGCATATTAAACTGTGTTAAAGAAGTACAAATGTTTCTAATACTTGAAAGAAAACAGGTTGCAGAAAGTTAACTACTTTTGCATCCTGCAAAACTCATGCAAATTGCAAACTCTTACTAAATTATAGGACTATGGGGTTTTCGATTTTTTTCGATAATAGAATGATGACACAAAAGGGTTAATCCCACTAAAGAATACAGATATGGCAACACTGCCTGCAAGTTGCATCAACTTTCTCTCCTACATAACACGTACCCCTGCTGCATAATGAAAATCTAAGCGACTAGACATTTGAAGAGTTGATTCAAGAGTCGAGACTCTAGATTCAATAAGCTGCATAAAAACAACCATACACATCATGAATGTTGGTATATGTTTGAAGGTGGCCAGTTGAAGATTCAAGTATTCCCATTTAATGAAAAAGAAGTATCCGCAATTTAAAACTCCCCATCTGATTTGATACAAAAAGTTCAGAGAAAGAAAAGAGGATTCCTGGGACACGATTCCATTAGCATGATGAAGTAGTGAACTCTTTATCCAAAGGAGGGCACATGCCAGTACCGCGCCCCTGCGTTGAATTAGAGATATTGCAGGTAAAACTTCAGCGGAAGTTGTGAATGAAAACCAAGCCAACTATGCTATCTAACAATAAGCAATGAGTCTCCATAACGGAAGTGAAAAAAGCTGTGTTAAAATCACTCTTTTCTCCATTCTCTATTGAATTTAATTTTTGTCAAAATTAAAATAGAAAATCGTTCATTTAATTTTCGTTAAAGAGAGATGTAATTTAAAATAACGAGGATTGGTCCAAGTGGTAAGCAACTTTATATCGTTTAAGTAAACTTTCAGATTCGAGTATTTGTGTATGTAAAAAATATCTACTGAGAAACTTACCCACCAAAATTAAGTGTGCGATCCGAGTCGGTACAAATTAAAAGGCTAAGTCTTTTAACTGGAAGATAACAAAAAAAATGAAATTTATAAAATTAATATTTATTTATTAAATAAACAATATTATTATAATTTGAATTTAAATTTTGAATCTAAATTTGATAGAAGATAAATAAAGAATCCGGCCATTTTAAAATTGGATGCGGTTATGATGGCAACTCGAGACAAAAAAAATGACGATTTAATGAAAAAAAAAAATTCAAAATGGAAAAACGGAACACCAGAAATGTCCACATAGATTAGCTTTGGGTAAGGACTTTTAAGTACATTTACTTATCTCTCTCCCAACAAGATGCCGACTCTTAAAATGGAAGAAGAAGAAAAAAACTGAGAAGTTTTCTGCACACCGTTTTCTTTAAATTGGTTTATTTTCCATCAAAACTCTCCCTTCAACCAAAACGAAAGAGTTTCAATTCCCCTGTTTCCAGAAATATCCGGTAAGCTCGAATCCTAAGCATAATCTATAATCTAATTTCACTAACGAATAATGTTATGATTCCTTTGGATTCATTGAAATTGCATCTGCGTTTATGATTGGTTTACTTCTGCTTTTTTTTCAATTTTTGATCGACACATTAGGTAATATTTTTTGATTAATCTCTGATATTTGGTTTTAATTCTTTTTTTTGGATGAAATTTTATTTGCTTGGCACGTACGATCATAACTAAATCTGGGTTTGTTTTTATATGCTACAATTTAGTTCCTGGATGATTCTTTTTCATGCTTAATGTATAATGAATGTCCGAATTTTTCCTTTTCTTGAAAGGGTTGAGGCGATGCAATTGATTCACATATTCATGCTTGTAATTTATTCACATATGTTGACTTTCGATCTCATAAATTTGAATATTATTATTATCCTAGGGATTCAAAGAGTGCTACTCTTGAGGTGTTGAAGAGAGGCAGATTTTTAAGATAATTGTTACTGAAAATTTTAAGTTTTAAAAAAATGCCAAAGGATAGAAGAGTTGGTTCCTTTTCTTTTGAACGCTCTAGGGTCTCTCCTTACCCGTGTAGTTCTAGGGGCAGGGATGCTAAGCTATGCCAACCAGAGAATCCATTCGAATTAGGATTCGGATCAGTTGAGGATGTTAACGAGTGGGAGGATGCGAGGTGCCCCATTTGCATGGAACACCCACACAATGTGGTACTTTTGCGGTGTTCTTCCTTTGAAAAGGGTTGCCGCCCTTTCATGTGCAACACAAGCTACCGCCATTCAAATTGTCTTGACCAGTTTTGTAAGTCATCGGTGTCGTCTCCTTCAACTGTTGTGTTACAGGAAATTCCTTTGGGAAACATGACCTATACTACTAGTGATTGGAGGAATACACCACCTTTCTACAATCTGCAAACTGAGGCTGGTAGTGATCTGCAGCCAAAGCTTCTTTGCCCTCTTTGTCGAGGAGATGTTTACGGCTGGAGTGTGTTAGATTCAGTGCGTCAGTTCATGAATTCCAAAGTTAGGGGTTGTTCTTCTGAGACATGCGATTTCAGTGGGACTTATGGTGAACTTAGGAAGCATGCTAGGTCTGCTCATCCTTTAGTTCGGCCAACAGAGGTGGATCCAGAACGACAGCATGATTGGACTAGGTTAGAGTGCGAAAGGGATTATGAGGACATGCTTAGCTCAATCCAAGTATTCTCTAGGGAAGAAAGTAATGGAGAAAGCCTTTCAGATCTAGAGGATTTTCGTTCTTGGTTGACTATTAATCTTGCATACTTGACACTTGCACTTGAGTTCATCAGTGATTCCAGAAGTACAGATGAAGATAGTTTTAGGAGGAGATAGGGGAGTAGGTGGTTTAGGTGATCGAGAGTCTGATCATGTTCCTAGGGAGAATAGTAGTTATGTATCTGATCGAGCACTACTTGGTCACCTCAACAGTGCTATGCCAGATGAGAGACTTCCAGGTAGACATCATGGCTCTCGGGGCATTCTCCAATGGAGGAATCGCAGTTCAACATCAGATAGAGTTTCCCAAGGGAGGCGCCAGAGTTCACAAGCTGATAGAACACGTCGTGGCCAAGGTGGATTGCGATGGCGAACACCAAGATGGTACTCCAATAATGGGCAGTGAGGGGAGCAGTGAGCACATTATTTAGTGATTCTCAATGTCGCAGGTTCAAATGCTTTTTTGCTCACTTTTAATATAATTTGTTGTTTCTCTAGCTGACTTTTATGTCCTTGTTCTTTTTTATGCTTTGTTTTTTTAACATTGCATATGGAAATAAAAGCAGGAGGTAAGGGTCAGAGTTTAGGTTTATTAAGTCGTTAGATTTGGAAGTAGAAAGCGAAGTTCTTGTTATCCCAATTTTTTTTTCTTTTATTTATTTGTCACAGAAACAATGTTTAATGTTAAAAATATGTATTTCGTGTTTGGAAATGTTATCTACTTTTGCAAAAACTTCATCTGTTCCCTTATGTTTTATAAGTTCTGATTATTTGCAGTGTGGTTATTGCTTAAAATGTTGTTGGAAATATCCTTATATTGGATCCCCTTACCCTATATCACGTGTATACAATTAGTGAACCCTTACTAAATAATGAATCCTCTGTCAAATGCAAGCTAAGACGTTAAAACTTTGCTTGTCGTATCTTCGCTAAGTGTTGCATCAATGGCCTAGGAAACAATAAAGACGAAATCCGGAAAAGAAATAACTCTCAAGTACATTAGAAGAAACATTATTGGTAAGATTCAGAAAAAGGAAACTACTTGTGGTGCAACATATAAGTCAAGATCCATGGCATCAAAGATGGAGGATTCGTTGACTGAATTAACAAGAACACTCTCTGTTGTTGGATCTGGAAAGTTAGTCCAATTTTAAGGGATTTTGTTTGGATCCTGGTTGGTTTTTAACATGAATTGAGAGCTTGATGTTTGATGCTTGCTAGTTTTTGTTCTTTTTTTTCTTTTCTTTTCCTTTTCATTTTTGGTTTCCGTATTCCGATTGGTGAGTACTTTGCTAATATTTGTGAAGATCATTCCCGATCTGTGCGGTATTATTCATTTTAATCCTAGTCTTATGGTTTTGTTGCATATAACAAAAATATTAAGTTTCTGTATATATATATTATGATTGATATTCAGAGCTTCTGGGATTGGGCTGGCACATGCTTTATCTCAATGAAAAATGGAGTTTTTGAGTTTGTTATGGTGATTCAGGCAGAGTAGGGAAGTTGCTTTTTCTGATCATACTGACTGCACAAGTATTCACCTTTATTGTAGGCTATATCTGGATGCTCTAATGGATTCCACTATGAAGATTGTGATCTTCCTTTTGGCAATAATCAGGTTGGTATATGTGATCAAGGAAGCAGCTTCGATTCTATATTATGGATACTGTTTTGCAGCTGGTTCACCTCTCCTCACTGCTGATATTGTATAAAGTGTAACTACTTCTACAACGAAATGTAGGCTATTGCGATCGACAACCTACTTTTAAACTGAAAATTGCATTCAAAACTTTATTTTCAGGAACATGTAATAAGACATTAAGGGATTCTATAAGGGCTAGTTCAACTATACAATATACCCTAGCAACCCATTTTGTTAACTACGTAGTTAATTCATATGCAGCTTGTTCTCCTTTTCCGCCACTATTATTTAGCAGTTGTTTCTCGTTTCAACTATAATCTGATGCCATGCTACAGTTAACGGGTTCCCTCGAGCCCCAGCCTTGCTGTAAGCCAAACGCAGACCTCGTTCATCTCTTTCGGGATTGTGTAATGACCAATCCTGAACACCCAAATTAACCAACACATAAGCTGGTGCATGGTTCCTTAATCAACAACGATCTAACTACTGTTATTGCAAAAGCGTATACCCTTCATAGGTTTTAAAAGTGAGGTTCCGGAATCCTGCTACACTCAATGAATGGGCAGATTTTTCTCCATGCTTGTAGGGGACATCATCATCACCTGCAACGGGGAGAGGATGTTTTCTAGAACGCCTTTGAACTATGAGATGAAGTTGCAGTATTTGCTTTATAGAGATAGATGCATACAGGTTCCATGGCAAAGTAAAATGGGCAAGGAATCGGCACGCCTTGCGGCTTCACGTGATACTTCTATTTTGTTCTTTAAGCCCCTGCAAAGCAGCACCTTTGGTTATCAATTGTGTTTTTGCATTGCAAAAAGAGGTCTGAAGCACGAAAGAATTAGCCCCGAAAGATGTAATACCTAGAACCAGGAAGCCATCCACTTAGTCCGACAACTGCCCTTAGGTTGATGGGGTACGGGTTGCCATTTCCATACCTTCCAAGCGCATAAGCAGTTGCAGAGTAGACGGCCATTGCTGCACCCATGCTAAAGCCTCCGATACCCACCTTCACTGTCAAAACGAAACTGCTATGATAAGCAAATGGTCAAAATTTTCTTCAAGTCCCTGTACTTTTTGTTCATTTGGAATGTGCTCCTATTTTGTTTCTAGAATTTTAGTTATCTACTTTTCAGATTTAAAACCTAATTCCTAATGTTAACCTTTGGGTTCAACTTAAAGCATTTATTTAGTTATTGTTGAAAGAAATCTATGTTCGTTATAGTGTATTTTTCTTTTTTTGAAAATGGCAGATGGTTAAAAATGAGTCTTTAAAATACCATCAGATGGCTCTGTTGACAACAAGTTTGCAACATGTGCTGCAGAAGCATCTAAACCTTCCCAATCATGCGGACCATCTTCTGAGAGCTCACCATCATCAAACCCTGTTGCAGCCATTTTAAATGATTTGTATCAGTGCCAAAGCATTCAGAAGGCTTTAGTTACAGGAAATTACGATCAAAATGGTGCTTATTATCTTACATGCAGTGCAAGGAAATCCCCCTAGTACGGCCACCGGACGAGTGGGAGCAGCGGGGCAAATCCATTTTATCTAGCGCATAGAATCAAGATGAACACATGAGAATTGTTATTATACGTGTGTGGAAATGGATATGATATATAATCTTTCAATAATTCTCCAAATACATAAAAATATTCATGTCAAGAACATAACTGTATCCTTTGTTTTGTAAACAAGTCCGGATAACATAAAAGCGTACTTACATTTGGAAGAGGAAGACTTTCCAACAGCTGGGACCAGCTGCAACAAAACGAGAAATAAAGATTAGGATGATGTCACTTTTTTCTCTAAACTATAGGGGAAAATGCAGTATGTAAATGCAACAGGGGATAAAGCTTCTGTAACTTTTACTGGGATGAGATGAGAAAAAAAAGTGTAAACTTGAATCAACAATTTGAGCTTCACTGCATTGGGAATAAATAAAGAAATCCAGGAGCACATATAATACTAAATAGAAATGAATATCCTCTTCGTCAAAGCGATAAATTAGGCATGAGAAATCAAGCTAATCCTTGGTCCCCCATATGTGAACATGGAATGTACTCTTCCTTCATCCAACTTACTCCATGTAAGAGTCCAATGAAAAGAAAACTCAACAACTGAACAGTGAAGAAGAAAAACATTGCATGATATGGCCCCCTCCTACAAGCAAAACATGATACATGATTTTTGCTCGAATACTGTTTGGATAGCATGAAGCTGTATGTCTGTATCCAAAAGCTGTCATGTTTGAAAATTATGATAAGTTGAACAGTTAAAATAGTCTCCATTCAATGAATGAAGTTCACAGAAACAGTGATTGACAGGCATGTTTCTTCAGCAGATTGTTTCTAGTAAAGTGAGGAATGCTAGAGTTTGTAAATCCAAAGATGGGTTTGATAATGGAAAAAAGGAAAGTTGACCTTGAACCATTGTCACCAAGGCCATGAAGCCAGACGATGGTTGTCTGGTGTTTCCCTTTTGGTCGAACAACATGCGTCCTTCCAAACTCGAACGTCTTTCTCGCAGTTCTACTACCTGCAAAACAGCATAAAAAAAAGCCTAGGTTCAAATAACATAAGCATTACAAGAAAACTTATAAATGAATGAAGAAAGGAACAAACCAGAGCCCATGGCATGTTGTGAAAGCTCATGTTTTGATTTTCCGAGTTAGTACTGCAGTGAGTTGAACCAATGAAGAAAAACCCAGAAGGGTGTTGCCTATTTATAAGCAAGAGGGGCAGTGTGAAAATGGAATAAATATTGAGCACTACAGGCTACTACTACACATTGCCTAGAAAACTCAAAAAAAGCCGGGAGGGGAAGAGCATCATTGAGAAGGATAAACACAAAAACTAAATTGGTTAAACAAATATACTTCTCTTTCGAATATATAGTTGCGTACATCTGTAACTCCATCCTTCCCTCTCCCATTCTTGAATATATATATATATATATTTAAGTATTGGGAGAGAGAACTAGAAGCTCCTGATAATTGGTAGGAAAGTGATGGGAGTTTTGAATCTAATTCTGCTTATATCTTTTTCTTTCTTCTGATTTCCAGCGTTAATGCTAATAAAAACTATAGCAAAATCCTGGAGGAAAGACGTTTATAATACACGTCGCAGAGAATTTATCGTTTTTGATTTTTTTCTTATTCCAAGAATAAAAATGTCACCTTCTTCATGTTTCATTATTGTCCTGTCCCTGTCTTTGGGATGCTTTGTTTCCTTGCTTTTACCTAGTGAGGAAAATTTATTTGTTTTAGTGATCTGATTAAAAAGTTGTAAAATCAAATACGTTCAAACTGCAATTTTTAAAATTAATATGATCCGTTGAGTTGGGCATGGAAAGATCATACATCTCCACCAGGATATAAAATGGCACGTGATTCCCAGCTTTCAAAGACACTGATATGAGGCGAGGGAATATATTTTGGTTACAAAAATCAAAGGGTGAGGAATTATCAGTGGATTGAATTCAGGTTCAGTGTTCCACCGAAACCAGAATAATGGTTTCAAGAATTCCTTCAATTCATAACGCCAGCAACCATACATTATTATCTGGCAATGCTTTAAAAAGTTCACCTAAGAAGATCCCGCGATTATCCCAAAAGGAAAAAACCGTATCACCTGAAAATTGGAAGGCAAGCAAGCTCTATATATACCGGAACCAATTTTATTCCAAAAGGTGGTGCGGAATACGGCTATCGGATAGAGCAAAATCGCAACTGATAATTTGAGAAAATAAAAATGAAGATAAAAGAGACACAAAATTTACGTGGAAAACCCCTAAATAATATAGGGTAAAAACCACGGGCAACGGTAGAAGAATTTCACTATGAGAAAATAGGAATTACAACATCTCTCGATCGATCAAGGAGAAAACAATGATAATTCTCTCTTGATAAAAAGGAGAAAACAACTCTCAAGAAACTCTCTAAATTCTCTCTAGTATTGGAAGAAAGCTAGAATGCTTTGGGATGGTTTTGAAGCTAAATGAGCTAGGGTATTTATAGTTGAAGCTTAAGGACTAATCTTATAAATACCCTAAAGTACAATGACTAAATTGTGTAATTTACCCTTTACCAAAAATCAACAAAAATACAACCTTTTTGACAATTCCACCATTCGGTGGAATTATATATTTTTTCTCCCAACTTTCGGTGCAAGTTGCACCAATTTTCAACAATCTCCCACTTGAAGATTCGATTGGAACAATCTTATCTTCACACTATTCTTTCTACCTTGTACCTTCATGTTACTTACGTTTCTGACAGGCCACAGGAGGATCGACACCAGGTAAATTTATCAACGTTGATCGCCTTCGTCATGAAATCTGCTATGTTGTCTTTGGTATGGATCTTCTGCATATCTACTGTCCCTTTTTTCACCTTTTCACGAATGAAATGGTACTGAACTCGTATGTGTTTTGTCCTTGAATGAAATGCTAGATTCCTTGCTAGATGCAAGGCGCTTTGACTGTCACAAAATAGAGAGACATACTCTTGATTGTGCCCAAGCTCCTCCAATAGCATCTTCAACCAAATTGCTTCTTTACTGGCTTGTGTAGCTGCTACATATTCTGCCTCTGTTGTGGATGTAGCCACAACTGACTGCAATTTTGAAACCCAACTTACAGCTCCACCAGCAATTTTGAACACATATCCTGTAGTAGATTTACTTTTATCCAAATCTCCTGCATAGTAGAATCTACATACCCATTGATTAATAAGTTTGATCCTCCGTAACATAATGCAACATTTGAGGTCCCTTTGATGTATCTCAGAATCCTCTTTACTGTATTCCAATGCTCTTTGCCTGGATTTGCCATGTACCGACTAACCACTCCCACTGCTTGTGCAATGTCTGGTCTTGTGCATATCATAGCGAACATTAAACTTCCCACTGCTGATGCATATGGTACTCGAGACATCTTCATCCTCTCTTCTTCACTGCTAGGACTCATACTGGAGGATAATTTGAAGTTAATAGAAAGAGGGGTAGAAATTGGCTTACAATCTTGCATGCTGAATCGTGACAAGATTTTCTTCAAGTAATTCTTTTGTGAAAGCCAAATCTTCCTATTACTTCTGTCTCGGTGAATTTGTATCCCTAGAATCTTGTTTGCTGATCCCAAGTCCTTCATTTCAAATTCCCTAGCCAGTTGTGCCTTCAATTCTTCAATATGATCTTTGTTGGGTCCTGCAACCAACATGTCATCCATATACAACAGCAAAATAACAAAATCGTTATCACCAGACCTCTTGAAATAAGCACAAGGGTCTGCATTAAGTCTGTTGTATCCAAGGCAAATAATGAAAGAATCAAATCTCTTGTACCAACACCTCGGCGCCTGCTTTAGACCGTAAAGAGATTTGTTCAACCTGCAAACCAAGTTCTTCTTTTCTTTTTCTTCAAAACCTTCAGGCTGGAGCATATAAATTTCTTCTTCAAGATTTCCATGAAGAAAAGTTGTTTTAACATCTAGCTGCGCTAGATGTAAGTCCAATGTAGCACACATTGCCAAAACTACTCGAATTGTTGTTAGTCGAACCACAGGAGAAAATATTTCATTGAAATCAATACCTTTTTTTTAGCATATCCTTTGACCACCAGTCTTGCACGATACCTCTCAACTTGATCGTCACCATTTCGCTTGATTTTGAAGACCCATTTGTTACCAATTGGTTTCCTTCCTTGTGGTAGTGGCATAAGGTCTCATGTATTATTTTTATGAAGGGCTTCAATTTCTTCTTGCATCGCCATCATTCACAGTGAAGTATCTGAGTTGTTTATTGCCTCCTGGTATGTTGATGGCTCACCGTCCTCTGTTAAAAGGCAGTATGAAATATTACCTTCTATAACATAATCTGAGTGCCAATTGGGATGTCTTTTTACACGATCTGATTGACTAGTTGTTGGAGCTTCAGAACTCTCTGGTTCTTGTTCATCATGTGCTGGTTCTGCTTCAGAAGAATCTCCTTCTTCAACCTCTTTTTCCACATGTATCTGCGTAGTCTCTGACTTTTTAGCACTATCATCGTCTTCTTTTCTTTGTAGTTTATCCTCTACAAAGATAACATCCCTGCTGATGATCACTTTATGGGCAGTGGGATCCCACAAGCGATACCCCTTTACTCCATCAGCATACCCCAAAAATTTGCATTTCTTGGATTTTGGATCAAACTTTAAAATTTCTTGGAAGTTGTACATCACGTACACTATACTTCCAAATACATGGAGGTTTGAATAATCAGCTGATTTTCCAGTCCACATCTCCATTGGTGTCTTCAGCTCTATTGCAGTTGATGGAGCTCGATTCACCAAATAACAGGTGGTATTGACTGCTTCTGCCCAGAATGATTTTTCTAGGCCTGCATCCCTCAACATTGCTCTTGTTCTTTCTAACAAGGTTCTATTCATCCCTCTGCCACTCCATTTGTTGAGGAGTGTTCGCCACTGTGAACTGTCTTTTGATGCCTTCTTTCCTGCAAAAGTCATCAAATTCTTTGCTTGTGTATTCTCCTCCATTATCTGTTCTGAAACACTTGATCTTATTTCCAGAATCAAGTTCCACCCGCGCCTTGAAGTTTTTGAAAGTTGAAAACACGTCTGATTTTTTCTTGATAGGGTACACCCAACATCTCCTGGAGTAGTCATCAATAAATGAGACAAAGTATTTTGCTCCACCTAGGCATGCAACTGGTGCTTGCCATACGTCAGAGTGAACCAATTCTAGAACATTTTTGCCTCTAGAATTTGATTTGTTGAATTTCAATCGGTGCTGCTTACTTGTTATGCAATGCTCACACAAAGGAAGTGTTACATTTGTTAAGCCTAGAAGTAGTTTTTACTCCACAAGGACTTTCATTCCTTGTTCTGACATGTGTCCAAGTTTCTGATGCCATAGCATTATAGAATCTGAACTACATGAGGCAACAGAGGCTTCTGCTTCTAACAATGTCTCTCCCTTCAGTATGTACAAGTTTGCAGCTATCTTTTCACCTTTCAGCACCACAAGCGCTCCACGGAACACCTTCATGATTCCTTTCCGTGTTTCAATCTTGCTTGCATTATTATCCAACAATCCGTAGGATAATAAATTTTTCTTTAGGCCTTTCACGTGTCGCACAACTCGAACAACTTTAATTGTTCCATCATACATCTTCAATTTGATGGTTCTCACGCCAATGATCTCTAAGGCATGATCATTGCAACTATACACAGATCCTCCTGTGACAGGTTCATATTGATGGAACCATTCTCTTCTTGAGTCATGTGATATGTTGCTCCTGAATCAATGAGCCATATATCTGCAAATCTTTTTTTGCCTTCCACGGTGGTTGACGCTTCACAGCATAGAGCATCTCCATCATTTGAAGTGTTTGAGGTATTACCTTATGGATTGGAGATTTTATTTAGACTCCAATAATCCTTTTTCAAGTGACCCTTCTTTCCACAGTTGTAGCACTTTAAATTCTTCTTACTCCTCGACTTCGATCTACCATGTTGTGACTGCTACTTTGGCCATGTTCTGTTGATCTCCCTCTCATCGTTGTCAACGCTTCTGCTTGTTGTAGATTTACTTGTCTGTCTTCCTTGTTCTTACGCCGATTTTCTTCTTGTAGAACAGCATCTGCAACGTCATCGAAGACTAGACTGGTGACATTAATGTTTGTCAAGTTGATGATGAGTTGATCGTACGAATCTGGTAGACTTTGAAGTAGAAGTTCAGCACGTTCTTGTTCTCCTATTTTACAGCTTAAAGATGTAAGCTGAGAAATAAGGTGTTCATTGTATTTAAGTGTTCTGTCACTGAAGTAGATTCTGGCATACGGAGAGTATACAATTTCCTCTTAAGGAAAATTTTATTGTGCAACGA